GAGGTTAGAAGGTTCAAATAGATAGTTAATTCAAACAAATGGATAAGGCTTGTAATGTGGTTGTCAAAGAAATAGGATTTTAGGCTCAAAGGGGTTAACTACGATACATAACAATTAGGCAGGTAAAATAGANATTATGCATGTCAATTTTGTTTTACTATTGTTTTGTTATTTTACTTTTTCGTCAAGCACTTTAATAATTAGATTTCTACATATATATTTTTTATATAACCATGATATGGTTTACAAGAAATTGCCTTAAACAAAAAAAATTCCGGAAATAAAAAAGCCCATTAGGCCCGCTAAGCCCACGAGCCCGGCCCGTTTAGCCCAAGACCATATGGGCTTAGGCCCGTCACGGGTTGGTTCCACCCGTTGAGCCCACGAAGCCCGGTACCGTGAGGCCCGATACCGCCAGAGCCCAGGACCGCTAAGCCCAGGCCCGGCCCAGAATACAGCATTAGTTGCAACTTCCCTTCTCGGCCAGCTCCTTTTGTCCTCCCCCCACCCCCCGACACCATATCCCCCAATCTCCTTTCCTAGTGGATTGGCTGATTATTTTGTTTGAAATACTCATTTTGGCAACATTCCTAATCTCTGTTGTGTTTACCAATAATAGAAAAGGAACAACTGAAAGATTTTACAGCAGAGATATCATTACATGAAACTGAGAATCTCCATCAGGTTACTCTTATCTGAACCAACTATATTTCTTTGCATTAGAATCAAATACATTAAACATCGAATGCCTTCTTTTGACCAAAAAGTCTTAAACCTTTTTGTTACACTAATTAAGTGAATGATACTAGGTAAATTCTGATTAAATATAATAAATTCTAGATTCAATATTGGTGGGAGATAACATCCTAGAAATCACATTTAAACCTATTTAAAGCCAAAAAGTAGTTTAATGATATTCTTGTGAATCAATGAAGGAATGAAGACAAGCAATAAATATGATAAATGACAATAGCTGTAAACAGAGGCGGATCTAAAATTTCCGGAGGATGAGTTCACCATTACTTTTTTAAAAAAAATTAAACAAAAAAGTTGGTTGGGAATTTGATCCCCTAAAGGCTATTGGAAATAAGAGACCAAAACCAGTGAACTACTTCATCTTTTTTACCATGGATTCCATCAAATATATATACCTATTTTTGCCAAATTATACATCATATCTATAGTTTAACCTGAGGACCACGGGTTCACGTGAACCATATTTTATACTATAAATCCGCCTCTGGCTGTAAATAAATTTAATAATTCACCCAAATGTGCAACAAAGTGGATGATTCTCTTTCTGATGTAAGATAGCCAAACCTGTGAACATCAAACACTTTATCGGGATCTAGTGTGGGAAAACATGGAACAACACAGCAAATCGAATCTTTTATAAAGATATTTGTAGTTATGTGAGAGTCAACTTTTCTAGAGATAGCTTATCAAGATCGATTGTTGGATCCCCTTTTTTCTCTCTCTTCTTCCTACTTATACGAGACATTCCCCTTACCTACTGAAAGTACAAATACAGAGAATATTCCTCCGAATATTCTTTAGAAATATCTTATTGCTAAACTAGTCGTTTTGGTCGATCTGAATGCTCGAGGTCGAGCATTCACTGCTCGACTCGCCAATGCTGCTTCTTAAGCATGACTTCAGCCTAATTGATTCTTGATTTCCCTATTTCATGCGAGGTCTTTTCGATTAGATTTTGACCCATACACCTTCCTCGAAAACAAGAGTGCTTGCAGAGTTACCATTTGTTTGAGCTTTTGTAATGGCGTTGGTACAGAATTACGCAGTATTAATTGTCTTGATAATGAATTTGGTGCCTTTTGGCTATTGACTGGTCAAATGATCAAATCATTAGTTTAAGGGTGTCTCAAATCCTTAACCGGCTAGTGAAATCATTTAGAAGCATAATGTCAATATGAATTTCTGATTTCATCTTAATTAAGTCTTGCATCCGAATTGGAAAGACAGAAAGCAACATATTGTTGAAAAAAACAGAGAATGTTGACATATAAGGAGGTACAAGAAATGCATATATAAAGCTTACAGGAGGCTCTTCATGGTGGGGATGACCCTTAGAGAGATTAACGATTGCAAGAATAGTGCATGTAATTATTCCAACATAAGTAATTTTCTCCCACTTAGCTGCTTCACCTGGCCATAGAAAATAAAGAGAACACTTCAATCACATTGGAACTCATTTATATACAGGAAATCAAACAACTGAAGCTAACCCCCCCAAAAAGGAAAAATAACAGATAGACTAAATGAATATCACCCCTCGAAGAAACTACTCCCTCCATTCCAGTTTATATGATACAATTTCCTTATTAGTCTTTTCCAAAAAGAATAATATATTTCTATATTTCGAAACAATATATTTTAAACTTCTAATTTTATCATTAGTAACAAACTTTTATAGCTAAACAAATGTTATGATATTTTTAAGATCACAAGTTTCAAAAGTCTTATAATCACAAAAATGTTATAGCATGTTTAACACCACAAATTTCAAATATCTTGATGTCTTTTTTAAATTGCATGCCCAGCCAAACTACGTCACATAAATTAAAACAGAGGGAGGAATACATAATCGAAAGATTTCATTGAAAAGAAAAGCTTTTAACACATACTCAAACGCATGTGAAATAGTAAATAATAAATCAAATATTGCTCTATCTCTCTCACATACAAAGAGATATATATAGCATGTCCACAGAGAACAATACGGAGCTAAAATGTATTATATGGGTTCACGTGAACCAATAGCTTTTGCTCAGACCATGTATAAGTATTAAAAAAATCATTAAATAAATATTTGATTGTAAACTCAGTTAGTATTGTATACTAATTTGAGATCACTAGGAACTCATAAACATCAGATCCTAAATCTGCCTCCGACGGAGAACCCAGAACATGATCAAGTCACTGTGGCATCTGCTACGCCAGGCATGTGACTAGTTGAGCTTGCAAATACCACATGTCTTATCACCACTTAAACACTAAGCATTGGAATTCAAAAAGTTCTCCTTTTGTCCTGATCAGCTAAATTAATCTTTTGCCGTTTTCAGGCTCATTTCATAGTTAATAGGGAATTCGACTTTACAGAAAATATTATCAGATTGAGTACGCAACTACATATGAAATTAAATGAGGAAACCGAAGAAAGGCAGCTAACTGAGTATGTAGAAAATAACCAGAAATTTAAGACAGAGAGATGGATGATGAGCTTACGGGCCTCGTCATGGTGGGCGGAAGAAGCGAAAGTCCTCTTGAATGCCGGAGTTCCGTGAGAAGCCCTGCCGCGGAGGGCGGAGCGAAAGCTACATTTGATCATTGCAGACGCCATTTTCCCGCTGATGTCTGGTTCTCTGTGTCGGTGGTTCTGGACTCTTCCCGCTGCCCCTGACGATATAAAAAAAATGATCACACTGTGGTATTACTTCTTCTTTTTGTCCTTCTAAACAAAAGTATGAAAAATAATACTTTCTCCGTTTCAATTTATGTTAACCTATTTGATTGGGCAGTTAATTTAAAGAAAAAAAATGAAGACTTTTAAAATTTTTGGTCCTAAACAAATTAGAATATTTATATGGCTATAATTTTTTTGAAATTTGTAGTGGTAAATATGTCAGAGTATTTGTATGGTTATAAAAACTTCTTATTGAGATAGAATTGAAAGTTTAAACTAAATTATTTCTAAACTAGTCAATTTACTCGCGCTTCGATTTTATAAATAAAATATGAATGAAAATTTGTTTTTAAATTTCTTATAATTTTAAAAACAATCTTGATTATTCAATTCTCTTTTCTATTCTTCGGTCATAACATTATCAATTGTGATGTAATTGCATTTCCAAAGTTGATTACTTCTTTCTAAAATCTTCTAGACTTGCTTTCTCTAATTTTATACTCATTAAAGCATAGTTTTACTCCTTTGCAAGAACTTCCTCGGGCTAATTTGAAGGTTTAAATTATGGGACTAAATCTTCTCCTATCGATAAAGATAAAAGAAAACTTTAATGAATATTAACTATTGACATTGATACCTTATTGTGCTATTTGCCATATTTTGATGACATCCTACATCATGCCACAAAATGATACCCTCACTATTAAGCATTTCAATTTTGAAAACAAAAGATCTGTGAAAGAAATATTGTATATATTGAAACTTAAAATTCAGCACAACAAATAGTTCTTCTATGTGTTGTTAAAAATTCAACATAAGGTTTAGTTTTCTATTTCTAAAATATCTTTGCATTATACTTCATTTTCATTCTTTTTCTATTTTTGTATTTGAAGTATTTTTTGAATTTTCAAAATAACGTACTAAAGGAAAAAGAGAGAAAATTAAATATAAACTTTAAAACACTTAATGAATATTGAGAAAATACCATTATCACAATATTCAATCAATATTCACCTGAACAATTTTTTTGTTGTATTTCTATGTATTTTTGTGATATTATATTAATTCAAAGAATACAAAACATATGTTAGGTACCAAAAAAATCAAGCCAAATTATACATAAACAAATCATTACTCAAAACTGAAAGACAAAGGAGAAGAAGTTGAAAGAGGAGGAGGAAGAAAAGTCAGTAAATTCCCATTCCGCTCTATTTAGACCCATTTCATATTTTAAATTTTTATTCAGACCTATTTATTCTAGAGAAATCTAAAACCACAAATAATAATAATATAATTGTCAAGTACAACATCATATTGCACAACATCATTTGACAACGATATATATAGAATCTACCTGATGATAGATTTTTATATTTTGCAGGAAAAATAATAAAATATACAATACATTCTCAGTTACAAATATAAGTATTCTCCCACTTGACACACGGGGAGGAATCAATTGATCCAATCACATATACCTCCCCCATTCAAATTGTAGATTGAAAATAAGAATTTAACTACGTAAAACACTCGTGTAATCTAAATGGCATACACATATGTAAGTTGTAATAAAAAATGATCTCATACATATACACGACCACATAGACAGTGAGCACAACTTTATGAGAAGAAAGCGAGAGAATACAATAGATGCTTATAGATTTTCGATTGCTTTGCTGGTATCGCACTCTTTCAAATAGTGCCTACAGTAATACTCTTAAAATCCTCAAATCAGACATATAGATAAGTTTCAACCATTTGTCACAAAAAAAAAAGAATAGTTTATTTAACACAAAATTAAAAGTTATTTTCTAAAGAAGGCACAACCCATTTCAGGATATGTTCAAGTATTGCTCTAAAAAAAACGTTGCAAGGTGAGACAAATATAACCTTAGAAGGATAGTAAAAGTAGCAAAGCAAAAACAGTCAATACTAAAGTAAGAATTACCTTGAATTGGTTAAGAGGCTGCATAGGCTATCGATGTTGCCTGGATAAACCAAAGACATGAGCCTTGTCACTTTGCTTTTTTCCAAAGTGCTGATGGTGTAATTTTTTTTATATAAAGCTTTGATGATACTCATAGAATGAGAAGTGAGGAGTTGTAATCGATTGATTACAATAAGTTGTTACGTCTCTTTAGGGACATCAGTTAAAAGATTGATACCAGTTACTTCCAAAAAATGGTTGGACTCTCCAGTAAATGACTTAAGAAATGTTTCAAGCAACAATTGTTTCTTGTGTAATACAATTTTTTATTTATTGAATGTGAATGAAAAAGGTAAAAATGTCAAAAAATGAGGAAAAAGATAAATACAATTGCCGGACATAGAAGGATGCCACATCACCTTCTCAATGCCCAGCTTTATTAATATATATAGATTTAAGAAGGGGTCATTCTTTTTTAAAATGTGCCAAAAAGGAAATATGTTCATATAAACTGGAACGAAAGGAGTACTACTATAATTACCTTGTGGGAATTTTTTTGGTACACATTGTTGGATTATAATAAGCAGCAGAAGCAATCCCACTATCAAAATCACATGTAATATAAACAACTAGTATAAACGGAATTTTACAGGTTACCTCCTGAAGCATGAACAAAGCTCCTCTAATTCCACAATAACTCAATGAAATCACCATCATCAGCACGATCACGATTCCCGAATGTTTGACGGTCTTCAACTGTGTTACCCAAATAATATCCGAAAATAGTAATTTCGTGTGGGCGAAATTTTCTAGAAAAAATGGCTGAAAGTTTCGGCCACCATCTCTCTCCTCTAGGTGAAAAACCTTATGCATTTATAGCACAAGTTTTAAGGGTTAAAACCCTTTTCCAAAACCCGTTAGGTTTTCTTTTTCACCAGAAAAAGGATTCCTTTATTTTCTATTATTTAGGCACAACAGAGACCATGAAATTCAATTAACAAGGCTTCTAATTATGGAATTAATTTCTAATTTTTGAAATTAATACCCACCATAATTATTGACGAATTATTCCACTAAATATTTGTAATTGCACTCCTTATTCAATTCCGAAATTCATCCATTAAATCTTATTTAACTCCTCATGTTAAGATTCAGATACTACTCAATTAAATTAAATTACTGACGATTTAATTTATTGATTATTTCCTCTAGACTTTCGCTTAACTTATTTCATGTGTCGGATACAAAAATCCACCAGCCGGGTTTACACATGAAAACTTAAAAGCTTTCATAAAGGTGTATCATCAATCTCTAAAGCGAGACATGGATTCCATCAACTAACTATTACTTCGCCAATGTATATTATTATTATTATTATCCAATTTACTAGGCATATTGACCCACAAAAGAATCTCGCCTTTTAATAAATCAAAACAATATTAATGTACATAGCTAATAATAATTATATCAAGATTAAGAGTATAAGTATATTTAATGGCTAGAGAGTTTATTTTATTAAGTCGGTATAAAATACTTATCTCTACTTGGTCCGTTCAATACATACAAAATATACTAGCACAAGAAGTTGGAATTAAACCATTCCCATAATCAAGATAAATTATATTTAATTTTGTGCTACAATCATTCATGATGGTTTGTCCAATTCCATCATCAGATTGTGAACTCAAACTTTATACTTATAAAAATCGATGATTTAATCTTCCGTGTATAAGCTAAACCCTATACACTAAATCATCTACTATATAAGCAAAGGATACAGACTAATATATGATATATTTAAAACTTTATTAAAATTAAATAAACAATTATTCCATAATAAATACTATATCTAAACCAAACCCATGGTTAATAGTATATATCCCAACAAAATAAATATTTTTGAGTTTAATTTTGGTGAAGCGACATTGTATTATTTTTTACACTTCCGTCAAACCTTAGGTTTTTGACTTTTGTAGTAATTGGTATTTAAATCTTGTTTGTTGTTATAGGCATAAATAATCCAAAAAATCTATTTCTTATTTACTTATTATTATAAAAAATAAATTAAAATTTTAAAAGGCATTTATTCTCGCATTTTATCATTCTTTTGTAGTACATATTCGATAAATACATTATAACGACATCATTATCTTTTTTTTTTAAATAGCAATTTTTTCTTCTTTTGCACAGAATAATATACTTGAGATATGTTGTATAAAAGAATGTGTATAAATACATTATCAGCTGTCGACAATTTTATGTTGAGAATAATGTTTTGACATGTAAAAGAGAAGCTATGTACACAAAGTAAAGATAAATTGGCGAGTTCCGGTAACTAACAATCGAATAATATTTTTCAAATGTTATCACTAATATATATTAAACTGAAAATAAGTCCTGTGAAAAAAGAAACTGAAATTAAATCCTAACCTTTTTTGGCAACCAACTAAGTATTTTATTCATCTTCCACAAAAGAGGTACAAGAGGTTTGAGGGAGCTGTAACAACTACACACTACCTTGTTCTGATTTGAAGATAGACAGCCTATTCTAGTCCACTTGAGATATGAATAAAATGCGAAGTGGTATAAGAAACACATCCTATACAACATATCGTGTTCCTCCAAAAATTGGTAACCTATCTGCACTTCAAGGTGGATCATAGAATAACATGGCTGGCTTCCTTTTCTTGACTAGAAATGAAGGGAGCTGCCGACGATCTGCATTTAGAAGGCCCTTAATTCTTGGCAAAGTGGTAAAACTTGTGTATATCTTCATATGGGAACTGGTGTTTCCTAGGAAGGCCACTCTATCAGCAACTTGGTATTTGACCAAAAAAGTGTTAAACCTTTTAGCTAAACTAATCAATGATGAGTTAAAGGGCGAGTTTTAGTCGAACTTAATAAACTCTAGAGCGAATGCAACAAAATGCTTGCGAGACGAGTAGTGCTCAAGGACATTAAATAACGGATTTAATGCTCAATAAGTAGCAGTAAATATGATAGCATGAATATGTAATAAATGTAGATAATGACAATAAGTATAATAAGAAAGGATCTACCACTCAATTATTGTATGATTG